ATGTTTCAACAGATTACGACAATGTATCCGAATGAATTATGTATGTTTATAAGTTTGTTTAATCACAAAATCAATTTGGATTACATATGTTTTAAGTTTGTTTAATCACAAATCCAATTTGCATTTGGGGTTTGGGGTTTATGTGTAGAAGAGGTTAGGAGTTTGGTTGTATAAGAGGTTATAAGTTAAGGAAATTGTGGTTTGGGGTTTGGGGTTTCGAGTTTAGGGATTTATAAAACATTTCCTCGTAAAGCCCTAGTAATAGAAAACACAGGCATAGCAATTTCCTCGTAATGTTCTAGTAAGGCCTTACTAGGGCTTTACGAGGAAAAAACGTGGGCATAACTATTTCCTCGTAAAGGGTTTTCCTCGTAAAGCCCTAGTACAGTCATTACGAGGACCTTACGAGGAAATAAAAACATGGGCATAGCTATTTCCTCGTAAGGTCCTAGTAACATTACTAGGGCTTTACGAGGAAACAAAATTCCTTATATATACTCGAGCAATCCGGTTTCTCATTTGCTAGTAACCTTCTCTCTAAATCCTCTAAAGGTTCTCTCTAATCCGTAGTTAGGTGATTAGATTAGGGAATTTAGATTAGGTGGTTAGTTTAGGGAATTTNCATTACTAGGGCTTTACGAGGAAACAAAATTCCTTATATATACTCGAGCAATCCGGTTTCTCATTTGCTAGTAACCTTCTCTCTAAATCCTCTAAAGGTTCTCTCTAATCCGTAGTTAGGTGATTAGATTAGGGAATTTAGATTAGGTGGTTAGTTTAGGGAATTTAGATTAGGTGGTTAGTTTAGGTAATTTAGATTAAGTTGGTTTACTTTTATTTACTGTTTTTTTTTTAATTATACGGGAATTAATGTTTTGATTTTTTTTTTAAATATAGATGCCTAGACAGAGCAAGCTTGCTAAGGCTGCTGGTAAGAGGACGTCGTCTCTCGAGGGGATAAGCTACGGAGATATGTTTGGGCGTCAGGATGCTCCGGGTTCATCTTCGTCAGCTCCCGGTTCACCTTCCAGGCAGAGAAGGGCTGGCAGAGTTAGATCCTTACCGACGGGACGGCCAAAACATATTATGCTATGTTTTAATTTTTAAAAAGTTTTTTAATTTATTTCTTAATTAACAAAATATTTAGAAATTAATCTAATTAATGATTTATTTTGTGTCTTTCCAGGTTTGGTCTTGACAATAGTGTCGGATTTAGCGTCACAGACTGTATCAAGGGATACTTTCCCGATCCAGCTCCAAACTGGAAGATGACGGCGAGCCACACAAAAAAGACATGGTTCAAATCGTTCGCTGTAAGTTTAGTTCGTTAATTTATTTTTAATTATTTAAAATTATTAATATAATTGAACTAATCCGTCTTTTATTTTTTCTGGTTACAGCAAAAGTATCGTTGGTCTATTGGGATTCACCAGCGAGTGAAGAAGGAGTTTGAGGCGAAGACAAGAGCACGATTACTCGACATGGTCTACAACTGGAAGGGCGACTATGAGGTATAGATTTATAAATTATAATATATATATAGTTTTAAGAATATTATATATTGACTTTATTTCTAATTTTTTTTTTTAAATCAGGTGGATGGTTACGAGGCCGGGAAACCCGATTGCCTCACAACCACGGTGTGGGATGGCCTCATCAGCTATTGGGAGCTGCCGAACTCGGTCAGAACCTCCAACACAAACTCCGGGAACCGCATGACCAAAGACGAGCATGGCAACACGAAGGTGCTTCACACCACGGGTCGAAAACCTCACGGGGGAGTTCGTCTAGACATGGTAAGATGATTTTTAATAACAATTTAATTTTTTATTTTATTTGAATATTCCAAATTAATATTTAATTATAAATTAATTTTAGGCTAAGGAGACAGGAGTTCTTCCATCTCTGAAAGACCTTTACGAGAGGACCCACCGGAACAAGGCTGGGCAGTTTGTAGATCCTGCTTCCGAGCAGATCTACAACGAGCTTGTTGCCCGAGTTGACGAACGCCAGACCTAGCTGACTCAGCAGACTGGGTCTCCAGTCATATTATCCACTGTTGACGTGGATAAGATTTACGAGGAGGTAAATAATTTGTTTTACTATTAATTTTTAATATTTTCTAAATTTTTCTTAATGTTATTAATATTTTTATTTTCAGGTCGCTCCTAGGAAAAAGGGGCGTATCATCGGGATTGGCTCGGTTAACGATGTCCCTGCAACGACATCGTCTTATCATCAGGAGCAGCACGATGTCAATGCTCAGCTGCGCTCGGAGTTGCAGGCGATGCAGTCTCATGTGACTTCGCTCACCGAGCATGTCACTTCTCTCACCGATGTCCTCGACATTATGGCAGTTGGAAACCCGCATGTGCAGGAGATGTTGCATCAGAGACAGGAACGTGCAGGGATTCCAAGTACCCAACAGCATCCACCATCACAGTCACAGCCGGCAACCAACTATGGAGAGGATCTGCCGAGCCAGGACGACGACCAGTTCGTTCAGCAATTTCACGACCAGCATCCGTAGTTTCTTTTATTTTTAATTGTATATTATGAATTTAAAAACTTTTTGTATATTATTTAGTTATTTATAAAATATTTTGTTTTTTATTTTTTTATTTATAATTTGATTTTTTTTATTTTTAAAAAATAAATTAATTATTTATAATTATTTTTTTAATAGGGAAAAAAACATTTCTAAGCAAAATCCTCGTAAAATATTTCAAGTAATGTCCTCGTAACGAGTTCTAGTAATTTCCTCGTAATATATTACTACGACCTTACGAGGAAATACTTACTATGAGCTTACAAGGAAAGCGTACGAGGACCTTACGAGGAAAATATTACCACGCCTTTACGAGGAAACCTTTCCTCGTAAATTTGCTAGGACCTTACGAGGAAAATGGCTTTACGATGAACGTGTTTCAAGGAAACGCGTTTCCTCGTTATTTCCTAGTAAAAGGCCATTTACTAGGAAATAACGAGGAAAACCCGTCATAGTAATGGACGAGTTTTCTTGTAGTGACTTAGTACTTGTTTCGTACTTGCAAATAATTGAAATAAACGACTTGATACTCGACTTGAACAAAACGAGTACTCGACTTTAAGAGCCAAGTACGAATCAAGTAGCGAGTACAAGCCGAGTAGCAAGTAATTGTGCCCACCCCTGTAACATGTATACGGATCAAGATCTTATATATATCTGTGTGTGTGTGTGTTTGTAAATAATTTTGTAACACCTTTCGCCAATATTGAAAACCCAGCTTCGTTAACTAACATCCAATACAAAATAATGTTTAATAGAGACATATGTTTTATGAAAATAGATAATGCTAAGCCATTGTCATTGTTGATTGATATATTATAAAATTTAATAATATAATAGAATTTTTGTATGGCGTGCGTACGTGACTAGACCAATAATTTTGGACCGAAATAATATAATTCTTCGTTTATCCCAAAGGGTATATGCCCCATGAATTTTACTAGATCATGACTCTCGCATCCGCGTTAAATTTATTTATTCGGATGTATATATGATTTAGTTTTATATATTTTCGAATTTGCCCAATTCGATTTTATGTTTAAATAATAAAATCTGAACTCACGTTTATATTAATAATGTCAAACAATGTACTATGTAAATATAATCGTGCAATTAAAATACTAATTATGTATATTTGTTCGAAGTGCAAAATCAAATTCAGACTTAATTGTTTGTGTTACAAAAATAAGTTGAGATTTTAGTTTATCCAAAGATTTTAAAATAATATGCAAATTTCTAGAATTTTTGTCCTTAACATTTATTTTATAGGTTGGATCAAATTCAAATTTAATTTTGCAAGCGCAAAATATTTTATGATAAAAATTTTCATAAATAACTTAACAAATATTTTGATAATTTCAAATAATTTATGTATTTAAAATATTTTTGTATTAAAATCAGTATTTTCAAATTTAACCTGAACCACGCTTAAATTAGTAATCCGATAATTCAATTTTGATTTTTAAAGATATCCATATAGTTAACTGATATTGAATATTTAAACCTATAAAAATATTGAATATCCATATAGTTAACTGATATTGAATATTTAAACCTGTAAAAATAAGTATACTTTGATGTTTTATATATTGTTTACATTTAAATTTATTTAAATAATTTAAAAAATGTGAAAAATATTAAAAAGAGTGAGATCTAATATTTTGAATTGTTTGGACATAAGATTAATTATAGTGATGTTTGGAAACATGGAAAATAGTATAAATAAATGCATATATTGTTTGGAAACATGGATAGTAGTATAAGAAATATATATATTGTTTAGAAACATGGATAATAGTATAAAGAAAATAATATTAGTGATTTAATGTCGGTTTAACTATAAAGTAGAAAGATGTATTTAATTTTAAAACATACAAAATATATGTTAGGTGCAACCTAATATTTCAATTTAATAAGATATATATAAACAGCAAGCTCTGTTTTAATATTTATAAAGAGATCTTGAATAATTTGGTCATCAGCATAGATTCTGAAAACGAGAGAACAAAATGAACATATCATTATTAGCTATACAAATATATATATATATATATATATATATATGTATATATATATATTCGATGAATCTTGAATCTACAATTATAAATTGACTGTCTTTTTATTTAGCAAAAAAATATTGACTGTCTTTTTCACCACTATTAGTTTATATAGTTTTAAAGAAAATGTCAACATCACAAACATTTAAGAAAACTTGTAAGAAAATGTCAAAAAAGAAGATCTTTTAAAACTTCCAAAGTAAAAGGTCAATTATGAATTATGATGGTCTGGTTCCTTTTTCAACACTGTAAAAAAATTGGAGGTTTGGTTAAGAAAAAAGAAAGAAAATTACAAGGTTGGTGGGGTATTTCGCACGCGTTCAAATATTTACACGTACGACGCTCGTCTTATAAAACCCTCAATCGGCCTCCGGAGAACAAAAAAAGTCCAGTAATATCAATACAGTTACTTTCAGCCGTTGGATCATTCATCTACCATCGTCACAGTCACAGATCTTCGTCGCCGTTATCTCTCTCTCGCGTTCTCGTATATTCCCTTCCTCTCTCTCTCTCACCGAGCCGGCAAGCCGTTCTCTCGGTGGTAAGTACTGAATCCGATTTCACCATTTAATTTCTGGTTTCGAGGATTCTCGAGCCGCGCCTACATTACGTGTTTGATTTTCGATTCAGTTTTCAAATTTTCAATGAATCTCGAGAAACTTTTGTCTAGGGTATGCACTTTTTGATTCAAATGTTTGGGGGGTTTTGTGTGTTGTGTAGATTCCAAAGATGATGATGAAGATGGGAGGTAACATCAGCAACCAAGCGCTACTGTCTCAGAACTCGTTGAATTAGCGATTCTGTTCATCAAATAAAGTTCTTCTTCTTCGTCGTCGTGTTTACTTGTCATCTGTAAATGGGCTGTTTTCATTCCACTGCTGCGAGAGAGTTCCCTGGACATGAGAACCCTGTGAAGCTTGCCTCTGAAACAGCTTGTAAGTTTACTTGTACTACACGTTTCTTCTTCTTAGCTTAAAAGTCCAAAAGCATGTGCTTTTATTAAAGGTCGCTCTTTTATCAGTTGTCTGCTGCTACAAAAGACGTCCATCTAACTTTTTTTTTTCGTTTTGACTGGCCATTTATTTACAGACAATTTGAAAAGCTATAATCGTTTTTTTGAATCTTGATCATAGTACTTTCAAGAAGTGTTTCTTTTTTTCATTCTTTATGGCCATTCTTCGATAAATTGACTTGATTTTGATGTTTAATCTCGCGCCTTTGGCTTATTAGTTCTTTGCCTTTTCAGTTAGTGTGAGTGAGGTTGAAGCATTGTACGAGTTATTCAAGAGCATAAGCAGCTCAGTTGTTGACGATGGCTTGATCAACAAGGTAACTGATAATTGATAGCTGTTAATTCGTATGCATCTTGTGGCAGGATCTTGAAAGCTTGTTGTATAGTGACGTAATATTAAATGCACTATTATCCATAATATATACGTCAACTTTGTTGACTTTCACCAATTTATTATTAGGTGATAATTGAATCTCCATGCTGATCTGTTTGCTCCTTATTGCTCAACAAGTCTGTGTATTGAATGTTGATAGTTGACTTGAATTATAATTCTTTTTTGTTTTATTGGTTTTGGTTTTGAAAGTTGACGTTTTGGTGGCCCACTTGTGGATATTGTTACTTATTTCTCGACCAACTTGTAATGCAGGAAGAGTTTCAACTTGCTCTGTTCAAAAACAAAAAGAAGGAAAACTTGTTTGCGAATAGGGTACCAATCTTAAGCTTTCTCAGACCTTTACAACTTTGTGGCTATTATTAAACATTGGTTCTATAGAATTACTAATGATGATGCTCTCGTTTACAGATATTTGATTTGTTTGATGTTAAACGAAAAGGTGTAATTGATTTTGGAGACTTTGTAAGATCACTCAATGTTTTCCATCCTAATGCTTCTCTAGAGGAGAAAACAGACTGTAAGTCCCCACCCTATCGCTGTTCCTGTGAAGCCTTGCCGTGATTTTCATTGACGTTGCATTGTATTTTATCTCAGTTACCTTTAGGCTATACGACATGGACTGCACTGGCTTCATTGAACGCCAAGAGGTACAAATATCTAACATGTTTCGGTTTTGAACGTGTTCAAAGATCTTTTCACTACTGATCTTGAATGAATGTTCTTGATTTTGCATCATGTACTGAATAAACCATTCCGGAATCCGGGCGTTCATAATTGTGTATTTGATTTCTACCAGGTGAAGCAAATGTTGATTGCCCTTCTATGCGAATCTGAAATGAAACTAGCTGATGATACCATAGAAGTGATACTTGATCAGGTTTGTTATTTATCACTACTTCGACTTGTACTAATGCAAAGAGTGTTTTCATAAAACTGAGATCCTTTGCTTTTCATGAGCAGACATTTGAAGATGCAGACGTGGATCGAGATGGAAAGATTGGTAAAACAGAATGGAGTGATTTCGTAATCAAAAACCCATCGTTGCTTAAGATCATGACTCTTCCATATCTGAGGTATGTTTACCTTTCGATGAATCCTATTTGCTTGATTTAGTATTGGTGCCGTTTTACAAGTTTGTGGACCTAAAACATCTATTGCAGAGACATAACGACCACGTTTCCAAGTTTTGTCTTTAACTCGGAAGTGGATGAGATTGCGACGTGACGAAACAAGTTGGGTTTAAATAGACCAAATTGTAGGCTGGACCAAGAACACGACCGATTGTAACAGTGTTATGTAGTACCACTTTCTTGATTTTTTTCCTTAATTGGGTTCAATGTCAATGAATTGGATTCCACGTGGTTGTTTTTATCAAAATTTTAATATATCGAGTTGTAGTTCTACGAAAAAAACTAATACAAAAGCTCATTTCTGATAGATAATTTAAATTTCTATATAATTCTTGGAGATCTCGTGTAATAAGATTCTTTAAAAAAAAACTTATATATTTAAATCAAAATAAAACTATTAACCAAGGTTTTGAAAATCAAATCGAATATCGACTCGATATAACTATTGGTTGGACCAGTTCAACCGGTCAATCATGGTTTTAAAAAGATAAAAAAAATATACTCCCTCCGTTTCAAAATATATGTCATTCTAGACTTATTTTATGTCACAAATTAAGTATCGTTTTAAAGTTTCGAGGCAAAATTTATTAGTTTATATAATATTCTAATTTTCTATTGGTTGAAAAGTGGTTAGGTGTATAGGTAATTGTGTTTTTATCTTGGAAATTTGTAAAATTAGATATTTCATTAATCTGTGTGTAAGAACCTAGAACGACAAATAAAGTGAAACGGAGGGAGTATAATCATTGGATATGGGTCCGTGTGTAACATGAGTTTTATTTTATTTGATGTTTTAATAATTATAAAATATATAAAAATAATAATTCATGTTATAGTTTGAACATTGTTTTACATATGTTGTGTGAGATTTATTTTAGAAATTAAGAATTTGTTTTCCCATAAAATTCTGGTTAGTATTTGTATTTTAATCAACACAGATTTTATTCGATGTTTTAATTTTACAAAATAACATAAAATAATAAATTATTTTATATTTTAGGATTATTTTTTGTATATGTAGTATGAGATATTTCAGAATTTAAAATTTTTTTACCCATATAAATTGTTGTTAATAATTGTATTTTAATAATCATGGCACATAGGTGAATTGTTTTTAACTTTATACTTAAAGTCAGAGAAAATACTCATACCTAAAAGTTTAAACCAAGTCTAATTGAAATTAAGAATTAGAATGAAATAATTTTTTTTTGAAAGTTAAATAAGGTCAATCAAGTTAATGACAATATCATACACATATCATACACTTGTTATATACTAATTCAATGTTTGCTTTATTTGACGTTAAATATGTTATTATTGTTTAAATATATTCTGATGTTTATTGGTCATTTTAGTAAAATTTTATTATCACTGTAAGATTTTTTGTCTTTTTATGCATTTTTGACCATCATTATTTTTTGGTTACGTGATTTTGAATTTTTAATTATTCAACCATAGTAATAATTTTGATCATCACTTTTATCATGTAATTAGTGATAATAAAACCATCAATACATGTATTTTACAACCACAATAACTTTTAAATTACTTTTAGTAATAAAAGTCATTTTCATCACCTTACATAATTAATATTTGAAATAATTATTCTACAAATATTTCTTGTATAGCATTTGAAAAATGGAAAACAACTATTAAACATTCTTTCATAATTTTCTTATGTTAAAGATTTTAGAAACGGACAGTTACTATAAAATAGTTTTTAAATTACCTTTTCTTCTGGATTTTGGAAAAGAAAAATTAAAATCAAATGAAATATTTTGCAAATTTTTTTTTGTTCAAAACTTTTTAAAAGAACATGGTTTAGGAAAATTGCTATTAATTTTTTTTTAAAATTACTTTTAGTAGTAAAAATCATTTTCATCATATTCGCATATATTTTGTTAATCATGATATATTTAACATATATAAAATTTTTGAAAGGGAAATTACTATCAAATAATATTTTCAATATTTTAGAAATTGAATTATTTTACAAATATTTTTTTTTTGTTTAGGGTTTGTAAAAAAAAAGGTAAACTACAATTAAACACTCTTTAACGATATTTAAAACTATTATTTTTGAAATGCATTTTTATGATTTTAAATTTTTTTCTTTAGGATTTGTACAAGGAAACTACAATTAAAAACGTTTAACTTTAAAAAACAAACTAATATCTTCAAAATTATTTTTTATTAACTTAGTATATATATTTGTAATCATAAGATATTTTAATTACATCTTATTCAAATTACATAATATTTCTAAATTATTTTTTTAACAAAATTCATTTTTGTCTCTATCTAAATAATATATTAAAAAGAAAGTTATTATCAAATATTTTTTTTTGTAAATATCTTTTATTTATATCTTTTATTTAGGATTCAAAAATTGAAAATTACTATTACATAATATTTCTAAATTATTTTTTTACCAAAATTCATTTTTGTCTTTATCTAAATAATATATATATATATATATTAATTATGAGATAATTTAATACATGCCACAATCTTAAATATATATAATTGTCATGTGTTACAATCTTGTTAATTAGTAATTTTGAAGAACCAAGATTTATATAATAAGATATATTTGTTATAATTATATTACTTTATTTTATTTTGTTTATAATACGTATACCTGATTTTACTAGTTATGAAATAGAATTAACGTACAACAAAATAATAGAAAGAATGTGCAAAGAAGTATATTATAGAAAGGGAGATAACTTTTTGTGATTTATAAACGAAGGCTATACACTTTTTATATAGAAGAATAATTTGACAAGTTACACTGTGATGAATAAATGATATGGGTTCCATCTTAAAATTCTTATGCAAAATACTCCATCCGTTTCATATTAGGTGTCGTTGTAGAAATTTTTTTGCGTACAAAATAAGTGTCATTTTTGGTTTTCATGCAAAATTTATTAATTTTACTATGTAATTTGTTTTTCTATTGGTTAAAATATGGTTAGGTGTATAGGTAATTGTGTTTTTTTATAGAAAATATTTAAAATTAATTTTTTCCTTAATCCGTGTGCACAGTTGTAGAGTGACACTTATAATGAAAGAGAGGGAGTATTGACTTTGTAACACTCCTACTTGGAAACTAATACTCTCTCCGTTTCTGAATAAGTGTCACATTGACATTTTTCACACAGATTAAGAAATTGGTTGAAATATAAGTAAGTTGTTATTAATTATACCTCTTTAACCAATAGTATTTTAGATAAATAGAATTATTTATAAAATCAATGCAGATTGTAATTAATTTTCAGTTGAAAGTTAATATAATTTACACTGAAATTGTATAGTGAAATTTTTTGTGTAACAAGAAAAAATGATTAGAATGACACTTATTATGAAACAGAGGGAGTATCATTAATGTCTTTTGTCTTTTATCTTCTATCGTCTCATTAAAAATCTCTCTTGGACAACCTAATGGCAAAAGCCATAACAAGATAAAAATAGTACACCTAAGAAACTCCCCTTCGAATAGACGATCAGCCTCACTAAAGCAGTGGTTTTCATAGCCTAAATAAAGTGGAAATCATAGGTCGTTACAGGTCTTGTTGATGACACATTCCAATGTTATATACATGTTTACTGAATGTTGTAGTGAGTAATGATTTCGTAAAGAGATTTGTAGCATCATCACAAGATCAAATATATCTCACTTCAATTTCTTTATTTTCTCGAATTCTTGGGTATATAAGAAGAACTTCAATAGAATATGTTTGGTTTTGTCAGTTTTGATGTATCCTTCCTTTGTTTGAGCGACACACAGTGTATTATCTTCGTATATGATGGTCTTTTTTGAGTTGAAGTTGATCCCACTAATTGATAGGATGTGATGACTTATCGATTTGAGCCAAACACATTCTCTGCTTGCTTCATGGAGGGAGGATTATTTCAGCATGGTTTGACGAAGTGGCTACTAATGTTTTCTTATGAGAGCGCCATGTTATAGCAATTCCTCCAACTGTGAAAACGTATCTTGTTTGTGACCGAGCTTTATGGGGATCAAATAAATATCATGCATCCGCAAAACCAACCAGTTCTTCGTTTGAGTTGTTAGGATAAAATAATCTCAAATCAATCATTCCCTTAAGATATCGAAAAACATGTTTGATTTCATTCCAATGTCTTTGCATATGAGATGCACTGAATCTTGCTAAAGGATTAACAACAAATTATATATTAGGCCGAGTACAGTTTGCAAGATACATAAGTGCACCTATTGCATTTAGATAAGATACTTCAGGACCAAGTATCTTTTTATTTTTTTCATGGGCCGAAATGGATCGTATTCAACATTTAGTGATCTAACGACCATAGGAGTACTTAGTGGAGTTACTTTGTCCATGTTGAATCGTTTGGACACTCTTTTTGTATATGTAGATTGGTGTACAAATATACCCTTATGGAAATTCTCAATTTGTAGACCAAAACAAGATTTTGTGTGTCCGATATATTTCATCTCAAATTCTCCTTTTAAATAATCAGATGTCTTTTGTATTTCTTCTTTAGTCCCGATAATATTTTGATTATCGACATACGACAATAATAATAAATCCATATGACGTTTTTTCTTGATGAAAACACATGGACATATATGACTGTTTACATATCCTTCTTTAGTTAAATGTTCACTGAGATGATTATACCACATGCGTCCAGATTGCTTTAAGCCCTATAATGATCTTTGAAATTTTATTGCACATAAATCTCTAGGTTTAGAACTTAATAATTCTAGCATCTTAAATCATTTGGGGATTCTCATATAAATGTCGGTGTTCAAGGATCCATATAAGTATGCTGTAACAACATCCATTAGACGCATTTCTAGATTTTGATTAGCCGAAAGACTCATCAAATATCTATACATAATTGCATCCATAACATGAGAATATGTTTCTTCATAATCGATCCAGGTCTTTGAGAAAAGTCTTGAGCTACCAGACGAGCCTTATATCTCATAACCTTGTTTTTCTCATATCGTTTTCGAATGAAAACTCATTTGTATCCAGTTGGGTTCACAGCTTCAGGTGTGATTATAATGGGTCCAAACAACTCTCATTTGTTAAGCGAATCAAGTTCAACTTGTATTGCATCTTTCCATTTTGTCCTATCGTGTCTTTTTTGACATTCTGAGATAGCTTTTGGTTCTGGATCATCACTCTATTTATTTCCTTTGAAACAAAGTACGAGAAAATATCATTGACACCATTCACATTATTTCGATTCAATAGTTTTCTATTGTGAATGTAGTTAATAGAAATCTCATGATTTTCTTCAG